GAAAATCATCCGCCAGAGCAGACGATCTAGCAAACTTAAGCCCATATAACCCGGTAGTCCGTGAAATCATGAAGGATTTCAAACCAACTTCCATTCCAGCCAAGATCGTAATAAGTTTAGCGGTCACCCTCACATATTACATAAAAGTTCGCAATCTCAGGTACATCAGAGTTTCAACATAGTTATTACAAAACCAGTTCGAATAAAAGTAGCGTAAGTCATTTGTTCAAACCACACACACACTCACGCGGAGTTTAAATATAGTGCCAGCGAATGATCATCTCCAACAAAAGCATCAGACGAGACGTAAGGAATTACCATGCCCATGGTCCTAAGCATCACCCATCGCAGGATACAGGCAGTTGATACAGTAGCAGTAATACATCTGCCCATCTGCAACAAGTGGGAATAAAACCCTGAGTACGAGAAGGTACTCAGCTAGACTTACCCGACATAACCGAAAATAAATGACACCAAGGATTATGAAGGCTTTATAGTAGTGTAGCTGACTCATTTGCAAAAGAAACATTTTTAGCATTTCAAGAACCTTTCTAAAAGCATTATTGTCAAGTTAATTATTATTAACCTGTCAACTAGATTTGCACCTATACTAGAGTAAACATGTGATTAAGCAGATAATGATAACCAATTATCATTAAACAACTTCCATACTGTCATATTCGCTATAACTGTCCAAGTGTTCCATAAACATTTACTACAATGAAGTAACTCAAGTCAAGTGCTCACTATCCAGGAGCGATGGCGATTCGAATCGATTCCTAACCAGCTGGTGATTTATTCCTTACACAAACCTCACTCACCCGCTAAAGTGAGATATTGATCACCGAGTCAACTTTCCAGGTATCTCGAGTTTGCCAGGAATCACATGTACCCGGGGGCCGACCGACTGCACTTTGGTCTTATCATCCCACCCCCGTGTCCTACCACACCTGCTCCGGCACAGTGCGTTGCGGGCAATCTACTCGGCCCGAAAAATCTCCCAGCTTCGCGGTCGGAAGGTACTTTATCCGGCCAGCTAAATGTAAGGCATGCGTTCAACATGACTCGAGGCCCAACAACGGTCGGTCCTTAATTGACACGCGACGGAAAGCACTACGGTCCAAAACTCGCAAGTCTCCGTCCGGTCTCAACTTCATTTAACACTTAGTTATACCATGACTTCATAGTCATCCAAGCGAGATCCAGGTAACCACCTATAGCTCGCAGTGTGGAAATCACCCGACTTTCTACCGGTCTAAGCCACCTAAGCATTGACTCGATTGCGGATACCGAGGTAACAAGGATATAGTATAACAAAGGTAAACAAGGTATAATGCAAAGAACGGTTGCAAACAACTCCCCGAACGTAATGCATCAATTAAAGTAAAGCATTGAATTAATAATTGCAAACCGGAGAAAATGCTCGGCTTGCCTCTCTCAAGGAGCTCGGACGGTGATCGGGGCACTCCGGAAGTTCCTCAACGTCCTCCTCGTCGGCTTCTGGCACTTCCTGTGGCTGCACCTCGAACTGCTCCTCGGGCTCCTCGGGTATGACGACCGGGTTCTCGGTTTGCGATCCTGTATGATACAATGTGCGTAAGTGCGTATGCAATCGGTGCATCGGATGAGATGAATACAAGGGATATGCTTAAATGCAAGGTAGTCAACATCATCCAAGAAAATATACTACAAGCACATGTCATCTACTGCATTCTCTTCTACTACTAATATGTTAAGTCAACATATCTTATTAAATGCTTCAAAGATACACCAAAGCTTTACTAATTTCTTAAACACACTTAAAGCAACCCTTACTAAACCCTAATTAATAATAGGTTTGAATAGCAACCTCTATTTTTCTTGCTTAGAAAAATCTTAGAAAATTACTACAGCATAGTACTACCCTAAGTAGTTTACTAACAGATTTTCATGATATTTGAATGAGTGGATTAGCCTACACAAAAATCACAAGCTATGGCATGATTATGAACATGAAAATACTTTGTACTGTGAAAAGTGTCAAACAACAGAATTAGTATTTTTCCTATGTTCTTCATAGCATACGATGACTGTACAAAATTTATCACATGCATGTTTTATACAAAGTTTGCTCTCTAGCTAAAATAACAAAAATCAGCCATTAAAGGTATTTGAACTACACCTCAAAATTTTCCCACAGCTCATGCATGAAACATATTTTTTCTAGGAAGTACATTACATAAGAAGATTAACAAACTTGGAATCATATTTTTCTGAAGCCTATAGATTTTTCTACACATTTTTCAAGTTATCAGCAATATACATGATTAAATAAAGTTCTACAGAAAAGTATCTCAAAAATGACATACAATAATTTTCCCAAGTAGATCTGGTGATAAGGAACCTAGCAAAATTTGTTTCAACAAATTTAGAGCCAAAATGAGTACACAAACATTTTCCAAAGTTTTTAACAAAAATCTGAAAAAGCATCTTTTAAATCCTTTTAAAAGTCAGCCGCCAAAAATACTGGGTGCACCCGGTGCTGTGCACCCAGATCCGATCCAGGGCGCTGACGAGCGGGCCCCCATGGTCAACGGCCCCCACCGTCGGTCGAGGCCAAGACCGAGGTAGGGCGGCAGCCGACCCGCCTCTTGTCGACGGCATGAGCTAGCCGTGGTGTGGTCACCACCAGAGTAGCTCACCCATGACGAGGCAAACACGGTGCACCAAGAGAAGGCACAGGAGGAGCTCGGGGATGGGGGCTCGACCAGCGGCATGATGGCATGGCGGGCAAGGGCGCTGCTCCCGACGGTGGCCATCTCCGTGGGAAGGGCGCGAAAAGGTGGTGCGGAGCTTCACCGAGCTCGCGGCGGTGGTCGTCTTGCGCGATAAGGTAGCTAGAAGAAGGACGGAGATCGAGGTCCACGGAGCGGAGCGCCCGGTGAGCTTCGGCCACAACTCCCCATGAGAGATTCCCAGGAGAGGAGCTTCTCACGGCTTATCGAGGCGAGCACGAGGTGCTTGATGATGATGAGTCGAGATGCGGGCGAGATGGAGGGTTCAATGGCGACCTAGGGACGGCCGGGCGAAGCGAGCTCCGGCGAGGCGCTTGGAGTGGTGGCTATGGCGGGCGCGGCAGGAGAGAGCAGCAAGAGAAGGCAGGGAGAGGAGAAGTGAGGAGCGCTGGAATCTTTGTGGGCGCGTGGGGATTCAAGTCATGGCCCAGAAGATTGCAGATATGCCATGCGCGTGATCGGCAGTGCCAGCCATTGCCCGACGGGTGGCGCCACGCATGGCAAGCAAGCCTCGACGCGGTTTGGGCGTATATGATGACAAAGCGTGCAAGGAGAAGGAGAAGGAGGCTTGGCACTGGCTGGGCCGAGGTGAGGTGGGCTGGAGCGGCGCTGGGGACTTTCTTTGGGCCGACTTGACCAGTGGGGCAGATGAAGCGGCTGACGGCCCTTGAAGAAGGGAAAAGCCTTTTTCATTTGTATTTTCAAGGAATTTTTAAATGCCATCTTTCAAATATTATTTTGAGCAAGAAAATGACATCTTTTGAAAATGTACCAAAAATGAAAGTTGCTTAGAATTTAATTCTCTACAACTTTGCTTTTATGACCAAAGCTAAATTCTTTCTAGATTTTGAATTGTAAATTCAAAGTCCAAGTTTAACTCAAAATCCTAATTTTTGGGAATTTTTTTTTTGAAGCCAAATTTCGAATAAATTTGAATACAACCTTGCTCCAAAAATTTGAACTAAACAATCCTAGATGATTTACAATAGTAGCCAACCATGTTTTACTAACCTAGCAAGCAAAATCAGGGCAAAACAAGTCTAACAAAGGTATGCAACATTCAGGTTTCATAACGTGTTACAAATGTTTCGAAGCAGTGTTTCAATTGTTATTTACATGATTAGGCATGTGTGATTAGAATGCTTGATGATGCATGATATGTATGATTTGCAGTGCCTAAATGCAGGTATAACACCGGGGTGTTACAAGTTCCAAGGAGTAGTTTGGTGGATCAAGCTTGAGGGCGAAGGGGATGTGGCTCTTGACGTTGATGGTGGCGAGCACCGAGGCAAGGCTTGGTGCAGAGCAGGAGGAGGGAGGGCAGCGACGATCGCAGCGGCCATGACGGCAGCAGCAGCTTGGGCACCGTCGTCCATGGTGGAGGGGCGAAGGTAGAGGAAAGGTCAGGGTGAGAGAGGATTGGTAGTGGCTGATACCATGTAAGAACACGTGAATGGGAAGAGTGAAAGCCTCATCAGTTTTTATTCAATGATACAAGTATTTATAGATTACAATCAAGTGACTTAACGTTTCAACTTCTAAAGTGATTCATATTCTAATATAAGTGACTAATGGCGAAAGTATAGCTTTGATATTGCATTGGATCCAAAACCATGTTCAACAATTTATAAAAGAGAAAATACATTCAACCTTCGTTCTAAAATACCATTACTTATTAAAGATGCCAGCAGACTGGTGGACATGAAAATGAGCTGATCAAAGTATTCACATGCTTTTCATGTCAAAACATTTGTCAATATATGTTGGGTGATGGAATTCACGAAAGACCCATCATAGATGCCACAATCATGCTTGGCAGACACCTCAGGGATTTATGATTCTGCTACCGAGTACTCTCCCTGTCCAACAGAGCACAGAAGGACAATGAAAAGCAACAAATACAAAATCAAGAATGGTCTATCAAGCCGATTGTCGATTGACTACTTCATTCTCTATACACTTGAGCAGTATGCGGATGCTACTGTATAGTTGCTCCCAGTCTCCCACCATTTCCTGAGGAGAAAGATTGAACCACCTCCAGCTCCAGAATTGTAATTGCGTTGTATAACATATGGTATCCTGTACAATATCATCGCTGGGAGAGAAAACATTCAGTATAATAGATTATCCTTTTGGAAAAAGAAAAGAAATCAATGGTTGAATTATTACCACATCTGACATCACTGATCAGCTAGAAGAGACTACACGGTAGTTTGTCGACGATCATCACTCCTGAAAAAATTGTCATGTGAAGAGACAAACTAATATCACATCAAAAAGAACGAAGAAAAAAAATAATATGAACTTCATACTCTGTTGTAGTGCTGCGAGCACTCTTCTTTGCCAACAGAAAACTCTTTGGTGAATTTCCATCTTCACGGACCAGGCCACGCAAAGCACTGTTAAACAAGTAACATATTTAATTCCGACTTATAGCTAGAAAGGGAACAATTGTTACAATTTCAGTTTCTAACTACTAACCTTATGACTAACCCAATGGTCCAAGGAACCAGTGAGAATAGTTTGAAAATGCCCCAAGGAATCAGTATGACAATACCATAGAGAGTTATGAGTAGCAGCCACAAAATAAGCTTGCAGAGCATAAGCAAGACCTGACAAAAATTGCACCACAAATTAGCGCAACTAAGCGATTTTTCCTCAATTTAAATAGTGCATAAACCAAATGTTTATCTGTCTAACCAGCGGATCCTGAGAGCTGTAGCTCCAGTGGAACGTCACGGCAATAGATGCTATGATCATTGAGTAGGCACATTGTTCCACATTGGAGTGAAACTGAAGTGATGCGACATGGAATGTAGCTAACATGTAAATGTATGCAGTCCACGCTCCAAGACCAGCTGTGCTAAGCGCTAAGGGAGTAGAGCTTGAAAATGTTGCAGCGGTCAAGCCATTCAACATCAGCACAAGAGACAAAACGAAATATATGCTACCCCAGAAAATCCAATCTGGATGCTTATCCTGTAGATTACTCAGAACACCGGTTGTAGCTCCCCAGAAAACAGAACCAAGTCCATAGAGGCATAGCTTCTGATACCCCTTGAACCTCTTGTCCAACTGAAAGGCAAGCATGTGTTATATTATATCGATTGGCAGTTAGAAATTGAATCATAAATTTTATATTATACCTAGTGTAATGAATTCCTTACCGCCTCTGAAGTTCTCTGCTGGGAATCCATGTCATAGTAATTGGTGGTGAACCTTGTTCGACTGAGGAAGTCCCTGAACAAGAAGTCCTCTACGGCTTTTAATGCTGCAGTCATTTGTCTAAAACAATTACATTAATATTTGTCAGTAGCCATCTTAAACAATTACAATACTTGTCAGATACATGACTTCATTTTTCAGACAAAATTTCATATGCTGAGATTCATAATCTAATGCCACTTCTGAACAAATATCCAGTCCCCAGTAGAGCCCCCACCCACGTGGCACCTCATTCATAGTAGCAAATTTTATGCAAATATGACCTGCGCATGTAAAATTCTTGGCTGGACTCATATAATGAACCAAACATAATATAATATATTGTACTAACTCGTACCATTCCATTCTCCAGTACAGGTAATAAAATAAGCAAAATGCACCATCTCATACAGATTTGCCCCATCCATCCTACATGCATCCAGGATGATCCATCCCATCCATTTTCATACACCCAACCAAACACTACTAACGTTCAGGGAAGCCACGGTCTAGAACAGATTCTCCCATTCATCTCTTCACAAGTCCCAAGTCCGTGCTCGAGGCGTGCTCGGCGCCCCCAACTGAAATGCTGACCGCGCACGACCGACTGGTTATCAATTACCACCCGCTGTGGTGACAATTCGCCGTGCAGTTACTCTAATTCAGGCAAGCACCAAACCTTGAGAACTCTAACCCTATCGGCACCCCCTGCTCCTGTCCGTGGCTAACTAATGGCGCTAGTGAAAATTCCCTGGTTAATGGCGCCAGTGAAAATTCAGCGGGTGGAGGACCAGTGGTCGGGTGGATGGAAGGTCCGTACCTCTATCCGGTCGAGGAAGTCACTTCGTCGTCGTCGTCGTCGTCCTCCCCCCTCGACCCTCGTCGTCGGCGAGGTGCGAGGCCAGCAATCTAGAATGTGGGGCACCAGCGTTCAGCGCGAACGCAAACCATTTTAAACCTCCTTTCCGCTGGGCGCTGGCTGTTGGGGCCCAATTGAGTGGGTCCGTATATGTCTTCCTCCCGTCGCAGATTTCCCCGGTGGCGGCGGTGGGTGCGGGCCGGGCGGCCGGCGATGGTTTCCGCCAGGCGATCGTCGCCGTGCACGTGACTTCCATGTGGGCCCAATATTCGCGGCCTCATCAGTCAGCGAGAGTTTTATTATGATATCATCCAGCGCCCTGATGGGCCTGGCTGGTGGCTTGGGCCAGGAGCCCATAACCCGGCTGAGCTTTACTTCCGAATCCGAGTGGCGGCGGCGGCGGCGACTCCGGGCCCCGCCCGGGGAGGAGGGCTTGGCCTGGGTCCGGCGGGCGTGGCGGTGAGGCAGCTCCTGTCCTTGCCGGCTGGTGCTTCCAAGCTACATGGCGCGGATCCGGCGGGCGAGCCGGAGCGGCGGTGGGAGGAGGGGCGGTGTAGGAACTAGGAAGACGGTGGTGTCATGGCATCGTCGAGGCCCTCTCGCCGGAGCCTCGTGCAGCTTGGGCTTGGGCGTGGCTCCATCGAGTGGATCTCGGCGATCCCCTCTGCGAGGTGACGGCACCTGCAGCAGCGGTGTTGGGCGCGTGGTGGCGGCCTCCTGGGTCGACGCCAAGACAGCGCAGCGGATGGTGAGGCCAGTCAGGGACAACCGGTTCCCCTCGAGCGCGCTCTTATGCTGAGGCGGTTGCCATGGCGGCGCCGTTGCGGATGACAACCACAGCGGCCCTTAGGTATGTGTCATTGACTTCTGTCAGGGTTTGTGCAGTGTAAATTTTAGGGACATTTTGACGATTTGGTCTTTGGTTTGGTGATTTCCAGATTGATTAAGGTTTACGTGAGCACTTGGCATTTTAGAAACCATGATCCTCTCAAATTGAATGAGATGATGGAAGCGACATATTTGCAGCTTGGGGTAAGGCTAAAGAAGATAGCCTGCCAATGCCTCTGCGACTCCCCCATCTGGATGGTGCCAAAAAATTATCAGGTACTGCTTTCCCTTCTGTTCTGTTGTGATGTTGTTGATATGGCTGTAGGGCAGCTCTGCGTTGTTTATAATATAGTTTTATTTTCAAATATTATGCTAATTTGTTGTGACAAAGCGCTTGATTAATGTTCTTGCTTTGACATTTCTAATGCTGGTTATATAAATGGAAAAAGTCCAAATTACTCCCCTCAAGTTTGGCATATGTCCAGATTACCCCCTAAACTTACATTTGGTTCAATTTACTCCCTCCAACTATTTCAGTTGGTCTAGTTTACCCCTTAAAATGGTTTGTTATATTTGTTTTTCCACATTTTAGTTGAGTCTTAATATCAACTTTTGTGATATGATAGAGAACATCATAAGTTATGTTAGAAAAATATATCTTAACTTTTGCCACTATTTTGATAGCTTAGGAAATTTAATAATAAATTAACACTGGAGGTATAATATCGTATAAAACATAATGATGAAAAATTCATAGTGCATTTTTCTAATACAAAATACAATGTCCTCTATCACCCCACAAAATTTGAAACTAAAATATAATTTGTACATAGAGAAACAAAAAAGAAAAATCTCTTTAAGGTGTTAGTTGGACCAACTTAAATAGTTGGAGGGAGTAAATTGAACCAAATGTAAGTTTGGGGGGTTATTTGGACAAAAGCCAAACTTGGAGGGAGTAATATGATGGCTGTTATGATCAAACTTGTCAAGTATTATACCTCTCCTAAGAGTCAGAGCCTCGGTTGTTGGTATGGGTCTTGTGGGATGGGTTTGGTCAGCATTATTAGTTTGCACATATACGTTCATTATACACACAGAGAAGTGGTCTGGGACTAACCAAAACAGAGAGTAGTACCTTATTTATTTTCTTGTTGCCTTACTATCTAGGATATGTCTGAATTGTTATAGGCACCCTTTACAGCGCCATGTTAATATCTATTTAGCATTGTTGTGTCACATTTGGTTTAGTTTGGAAGCCAGTGAATTCCAAAATGTGTTGCTTGCAATTGCTAGCATTTTGCTTGTGGACTCTGCATAATAAGTAAGCTCATGTAGGCTTTATAGTTGCCCAAAATATATGCCCATTGCTAGCAGCACTCAGTACTAGCATTCATGGACAAGTTTGATGGTTGATTGATTGATGATGCTTTACATTTTTCTACCAGCCATCGAGTGTTGTACTGAAATATGAGAAGCTCTCTGAACTTTTGTATTCTTCCGCAGGTCTGTTGCTGTGATTGGCTTGGTTTCTTTGGGTTACAGGTACAGGACTCTAAGATGCAAAAACTATCCCTTCATGTCAGGAGCTTGGTAAGTTTAGGAGATCCTTATGTTATGTTTGTGGGGTGTATTTTATATGTCCAGTCCTCTGACGTGGTCTGAGTAAAGCTTCATGTGTCCAAATCGTCGCTGTAGCGACCTCCATGGCCGTCGGGATCTACTCCATGGGCTCCCTTGTTCTCCAGCACAACCCCCAACAACTTTGAATCAAAGGTCTTGCCCGACTCCCACTAACTGGATGTTTGCATAACTGATGCTTAATGGAGCGTTCTGTGGTAGTTTTTGTTGTCCAAGTATCTGTTTTGCCTTTCCTTCTATTTCTGTACTGTTTTTTTGATGCGCAATGCACAAGGATTGCCTCTTGTTCAAGCATAAATATTCCACTTGGAGTTCCTCATGATTTACCAGGAAGTAGGAACTGTTGTTCATTGTTTCAGGGGAAACAATAACAGGACAAACAATAAGATCCATAATTGTAGCATTTGTGCATATATCTGGTTGTTGCAGTCACCTACAATATTCATAACATCTATAGTTGTATTTCTGATCTTGAAACTAATGACAAAGTGGTGTTATCATGGTATATATACATAATAATAAAACAATGGTTTCATGTATGGGCCATATTAGTATGGTAAATTACCATTTGTTTCATTATAGAAATTCTGATCCACTTCTCGAATAATCTTGTTGCTTTCCATTGGTAATCAGGTAACTACTAATTTCTATCGAGGATCTGTGACCTATCTAAAAGAAAAGGATTAGAACCAGACTTGTGGCGTATATGACGAGTCAGACCATTATGTGATTCTGTTCTGATTACCACAGAGCAATGTAACAATGCATAGCTCCAGTCAGTTCATAGCCATAGGTAAGTTAATTTGGAACTATGCCGTGGTACTCCCTAACGCTGCTGTGATGCTTCTTTCGCTGTGATGTGCCAATGGTTGAATAGGTTAGACTGCATTTGATTAGTCTAGATTCTAACAGCATCCAACTATTCTGATGTGTTGTTTCTTTTTATAGGTGCAGTGATCCAAGTCGATTTAAATCAAATTGTGACTTGATTCATACAGGTTGGTATGTCATTCTTCATGTAAATTGGAGTTTGTTCTAACTGTACCATTGTCTATAGACTGTAGTGATCAAAATTGGATGGCAGAGACTTTTATTGCAGTAGTATGGCAGAGATGCATCTCATGCTATTGCTAACTAAATTTCAGAGTTACCAATTATCGCAACAGGTATTAGATAGGTGAACTATTGTTACTCCTAAATTGAATACCCATCCTCTTAGCCATGGTTTTTAAGTCGTCTCCAAGGCGACGCCTAGGCGTCGCCTAGGCGTCCAGGCGCTATTTTAAGCTGGGCGTCGGCCTCGCCACGAGCAGCATCTGTATGGCGTCCGCCTTGCAGAAAAAGGCGTCGCCTAGGCGCGATTAGGCGACGTTGGAGCTCCGAGCGGCCTGAGGCGGACGACGCACGAGCGAATCGGACGACGCCTGGCCGCGAGAGTTGCGCGCGCGGGAAATCGCGGCCGCGGGAGTTGCGCGCGCGCGGGAATCACTACTGCGGGAGTTGCGCGCGCGCGGGAATCGCAACCGCGGGAGTTGCGCGCGGGGGAAATCGCGGCGCGGGCCTACAGCTCCCGCAAGTCCCTATCTCATCTCTCCCGTGCGCAAAGCCGCAAACTCACCTGTTCTTGGCGCGCGCGGCTGCTCCGCCTCTTCTTCTCCATCGATTTGTGCCTCCCCTGCTTCGATTCGAGTCTTCCCTGCTTCGATTTGAGCCTCCCCTACTTCGATTCGAGTCTTCCTCCCTCTTCTCTGCTGATTTGTGCCCTTGGATTCACGGCTCCTTGCGCTGCTCCGCCAGTTCCAGCCTCCAGCAGTTCTTTCCTCGATTCGAGCCTCCCTTCCTCTTCTCCACTGATTTGCGGAATGTTTACATATTTACCATCATGGCGACGTGAGTGTATAAGAAATACCATGTCAGTGACTCATGCGTCAGTGACTCAGTGTAAGATGTCATCCGTAATAGTGGTAAATATGTAAATGCCCCCCTTCTCTAGTCCTCCCTCATCTCTGCTGATTGATTCACGGCGCCTTCCCCTTCTCTTCGTAAGGTCACAGGATAGGTACGTAAGCATCGCTTCCTCTCCCTTCGGCTTCCCTCCTCTTGGATGTGCACTGCCCCTGCTCTTGATTTGGATGTGCACTGCCTCTGCTCGACTTGGATGTGCTCTGCAGTTCACATCTCCTCTGCAGCTCTGCTTCCCTCCTCTTCCTCTGTTTCTTTCCATGTCTTTCCTCTGCTTGTGGCTTTGTTATACAGATGCTGACTGGAAGTGCTCAAGTTCTTTGTTTTTACAGCTGATAGCACAATGGCAAGTCCATCTTCCATCATCAGCAATTATGATCCCAGGACTGATTTAGCTCGGAAGGGAAATTCTGCGGATCCAGGATGGAAGTATGGCTACTGGCCAAACCTTCAAAACAAAGATGTAGTGGCCTGCACTCTATGTGGTGTCTCACTTTTTGGAGGGATAAGAAGGCTGAAGAAGCATCTAGCGGGTGGCTTTGGAGATACAATGATGTGCAAGAAAACTACCACTGCAATTAGAGTAGAGATGGAAAACTGCTTAAATGATCATCCGTCCCTAGATGATGCTCACGTTAGATTTCAGATCTGCAGTTATGCTATTTATATTTGTTTTGCCCTAGCAGCATTAGTCATTAAGTTATATTATGTCATTAGAGACTAATTTGTTGCTATTGAGTGATGAGAACTATTTTGCTACTTTATGTTGTGCACTAGCACTCTGGTAGCACTATTTATTATGGTATTATATGCTAAGACTTGACAATATTAAGGTATGATTTGCTTCTGAATTTTAGTAGCATTATATATTAAGATGATCATATGGCGTCGCCTCGCCGCGCGCCTTAAACGCCTAGTCTACTCAAATGGGCGGGTCGCCGCGGCTCGACTTATCGCCTTAAAAAACAATGCTCTTAGCCATAAATTATGCCGTGCTTTTCAAGTTGCATTAGTGGTTAACACTTAAAAATGAGTAGTGTCTCACTGAAATGCAAGACTCTGAATGTCTGAACTCTGAATTCCTCCTAGCCTTCCCCTTAAACCATTTACTTAATGCCCTCTTGCAGGTCTTAGTTGCTGTCGTCTTGAGTCTGCAGTTAACTATTGTGAAAGTTGCTATACTAAGATGTAGATGACAAGGCAAGAACAATTGGTTGCAGAGCTATATCCCGATGGGCTGCTCTCGCTGCCCCGTGCCGCCGCTGCCGCTTGCTAGGAGGGTCGTCGTCACGTGCACGGGGCTCTTCGGCGATGGTGCGCCGGAGCTGGGTTTGTCAACGGTAGAGGAGGTCTGGATCGGCACCTCCCCGATGCGGCCATCCACCTTCCTCTAGGAGATGCAGGATGGCCCGGGCTCCCACCTGACGACAGTAGGTAGCGGCAGCCCGCCTCGCTCTAGATCCGGTCTGTAGTCTCCTTCTCCACCTCTCTATGTTCTTATGCATCAGCAACCTGCCTCTGCCGGCGGTGGGGGGTGGGTCCTCTTTCTGGAGTCCAGCAGTGGAGCAGTCAGAGGAACTGCGACAGTTGTCATCTCTGGTGCAGCAAACAACAGAAGCAGCATTCAAGGCGGAAGCCATCAGTGAGCTCAGTGCTAGATAGTGTTACCAGGGAGTATCCTTCCACCAAGTACGAGCTGCTCCATGAGCTTGCTGCGACTCTTACTCTGGAATTATTATTTCATTAATTCTATTATGTCTATTTGTAGAATGCCTGAAGCTTTGAGTTGTTTTGTGCAATGCAACATTCCATTGGGAATGCAGGGAAAGGTTCATATGAGCAAGGTATATCAGAACGCCGGAGCTTGTGGCTGTCAACATCATGTCATTAACAAAAGGGGTTTACTTTCTAGCTTCTTATTACAAAGTTCGGTGAATATTCTGAAACGCCACCTGAGACATATTTCATATTTGGCAACCATATTGCTTTTGTGTGAGCATTTGTTTGCATGGGCTTAATTGTGAGATAATCTCATAAATGTGCTTGCTGTCTGTTTTCTGAGTCCTTGCATTTTTCCAAAATATAGGTATGTATCTCTGGTTTTCAGGAAGAAGGATATGAAGACATACGGGGAGAAATTGAGATGCTGCAGCAATGCAGACGTCCAAATGTTGTCCGCTACTTTGGAAGCTATCAAGGAGTGAAATACCTATGGGTACAATCAAATAGCCTTATATCCATTTTATTAATAACATTAAGAAATAGAAAAACTATTCTATCATTGAGAGAGTGCTAATATCATGATTGGTCAGGGCAGTGTTAGTTAGAAAATTCAATTTTATGGATGGATTAGCATATGTTACCCCTTTGTACTAAGCAGGATGTTCCAGTTTCTCATATACTTTGTATATGTTGTGGTACACATCCTTTCAACATTGACAGAATGATTTACATGCCTTATTTTGGCTTCTTTGAAAAGAATGTTTGGATGTGGAGAAAGTTTACTTGAACTTAAGGAGATGACACATAAAATTTTAATAATACCCTCTAATAGCTTTCTTATTGTCTTAATATAGCTTCTTTGAAAAGGCCAGATCTGCAAAGACTATGGCAATTATCCATAAACTTTGCAAGTATAAAGTATTTCTCTTATTTGCATAGACAAGGCCTTTCACAACTGATTTTATTATCTTATTTGTTATATTCTATCTCACTAATGTAGAAAAATCTATTATCGAATTACTCACAGGGTGATAATACAAGCTGTATTTTGCATTCAACAAGTACCCCTGCATTTTTTTTTGAGCAGGTGCTATGCTGCATAGACAATCAGCTAAATTATTTTGCTGCATATTCAACAAGCTGCCATATGAATGCGACTCTTGTTACATTTTCATATTTTAACTTCTATAGTTTTCAGAAGAATTTTTTGTCACATCTGGATAGTTAAACTTTTGTCCTCCCAAAAGTCAACATTTAACAAGTTGCCTCGTGGGGATTTCAGAGGTTTGTCGTGCTATGGTTTCTAATGTTCTCTTTCTCTCTGCCATGGGATGGCCTGAGTGAAAGAAGGGGGCTTTGCTTTCTGTGTCATGTAATGCAAGGTTCTGGAGTCTGGACCTGCAGGAGGGGGATGTCCTTTCTCTGTGCCATTCAATGCATGGTGCTGAGCGAAGGGAGGGGTTGTTCTTGTATATGGAGCACTGGTGAGGTTTAAGGGATCGATTGCTATGTTCTTTTCCTTGCTTTCTAGCACTAGTTTAATTTGACAGCCTTGTTGCATTTGTTGATATCTACACAGATCCATTGCATGGCATGTACAAATGTTTCAGTAATTTGAAAAATTTCTGAATTAGTAGTTTCCTACTACTTTATGCAACTCAGCATGCCTGGGCAGACCTCTCCTTTCTCATTATTTTAATGACCCTTTATATGATTCTCTTTTAATTTTTGGTTCTTTTCCTTTTTTCTATTATGTTGTATTCTTGGCTGTAGGATCTCCCTTTTCTTGCTGACAAATAGAAAAGGTGGAATCGCATCATTTGTTCTTTGTTATCTCTTCAAAATTGATTTTGTTGGTTGATTTGAGTAGAGGAGCGACATCGTTGTTATCTAGCTAACATGTGCATGCCTGTTTGTCTTTCTCCAGATGGGTTATCTAGATTTGATCTCCTTTGCATTCAGTTCCAGTTGATCTCGTGATTGTTACTTCAAAGGGTTTCAGTTAAGGGAAAAGAAAAACAGTTCTTCAACCAATACAAATGTGTGGTGTGGGTTGTTTCTAGGAGCGCTAATCATCTATGGCAGTTTTGCAAATAAAATAAAAACCCTTTGTTTTTCCTGATCTTCTATTTTTTAGGTTTCAGAGAAACACGTCAACTGAATTTGGATTTAAGGGTTATCTGATTGCTCCCCTGTTTTAGTCATCTTTTGGTGGGCATGTTCAGCTGCCTTGCACTGAACTCAAATGTTTCCCTCCAATATGATATCTCATTCCAATCTATAGTTAATTTGTACTCATGTTACTTCAGTTTTTGTCTGAATATTTTTGCTTTGCTCCTACAGAAGTTATTCTTCAGGGTGCCATGGCATTAATATTAATTGTCATGGTTTGATATTTCTCCGTGTTCTTTCATACTTGCATTATTAGCAATATTTGTGTCTCCACTCCATGTTAGATTTCTGCATATGCATGTCGCCAGTTGCTGCCACGTGGATTATTTAGGCCTTTACTGATTTAATGTTGATCTTTCTTATTTTTCCATCTATTTGGCTTACTGCATCTTCCAAAATCAAAAGAGTGTATCCTAGCATGATAAAAGGAAAACTTATGGTATTTTTAGTTACATTTTCTATGCTTGAAGTTGCAGCTACTATTTCCATTTACAATTGCTCTGCTCTACAGATTATCAATTATTGTGCTACCATTCACCAAGCATGAGCACAGGACAGTTTCCAATCACATGTTCTGGTGAAGCAGAGGACCTTAGCCTTGTAGATGAAAGGATAAAGTTTTCCATCTCCGAGAAATGAAGTCCCTGAATCTGAAATTTGGAATTTCCAATCAGAATAAGAAGGGATATGATGAGTTGCTTGCACTTGCTGTTAGCTTTCATGACTAATAGGGTCTTGACCGAGGTGACCTTGTGTGGGCTAAAATTACAGGTGGTCATCAGAAGTTCAATTTCAATTTAAATATATCGGAATACAGTTGTGTAGTGCTTCATTTATCTGGTGTTGGGTGAAATGTTTCATTATAGTCCGAACACAGTTTGTCTTTTGAGCTCCATCACATGTGCTAGATGATGTCACTAAGTCTCTATCATAGAAACTGTTTTCAATTACAGTATCATGTATCCCCTTCATAGCTTTGCTTTTATGATATTTTACATAATTGTCGAAAATGTTATTGTATGCACTTGCCTTTTTTCAAAGGCTTACATTCATGATCTTTGATCTGATTGGTTTAATTTGTTTAATTTGTGGCCCTTTCCTTGTTTTTTGTCTGTAAGTGGTCTGCTGGCTTTCTTAGTCACCAAAAATTATTCTGTCTTCTCTAATGGGACCTGATGTGCTTGAACAGGTCATGCAATGTGGCTGCGATGAGTCTAATGCACCTGGAACCTGAGCTTTGAAGTCAATTCAATCGGACCAATCAATCTTGTGTGGTTTGTTTCAAATGTTTAGAATCCAGTCATTTAGAAGGCTTAGTTTGTTTTAAAATGTCCAGTGCCAGCCCGCGCGCAAGGGGGCACACTAATCACTAGTTATATCAGCAATCATGCTGATGTGCTCAGTAAAATTCTTGGGTTTACTCTAGCGGCCATCTTCATGAGGTTTAGATTCCACTAGAAGCCTAGACCTGTCTAGATTATATGGATTATTCTTCAAAACTTTTTGAAGGTAATACTGAAATAGATAAATTCAGTGCGATGCATAAAAAAAACAGAGCATGAGTTTTTTTCTCTCTCAAATGCAGGCTACATAACTATCAATTTAGATGTTCCGTCATGCATAGTGGATAACAATTTTTTACTTTGGTTAAAATTTGTCAACTGATAATTCTTTGATTAAAATTACTACAGTTTTGATCTTGTCTCACTCTCGTTGAAAGTAATTTTGTCTCTCATATGTTTTGTATGTATTAGTGTGTTACTTATGTCCGCATCTTATTTGAATGCTGCTCCTTATGAAATTTGTGGTGCTATGGCCTGCAGTCGATTATGACATGTGTGTCCCCTTTTGAATATGTTTCTTTTCCTGCTATGCACAAGCAAATTGATAGGATGTTCTAATCTTTGATACATATCTTTTAGGTGCCAAATGAATAAGTTCTAATTCTGGAGTGTGCTCTCAGGAAAGAAAAAAAAAGTATTGATGCATTTGAATGCTGCCATCCATTTTTGAGTTCTGCTCTATCGAGTCTGTTGATGTTCTTTGCCTGTGTTAGAACGTATAAGAAAAGCTGTAGTGTTTTATTTTTTCTGTTTGGAACAATGATTTTGTATTTGATGATGAAGACATTGTCTGATACGAGACACTCCAGTGTTTAGGACTCTAACATGCTCAATATGTTATGCAGTTTGTATGTGCAAATCTATGTATCAGAGTATGTTAGCCCATGCACAACATTGTCATCTTTCAAATTGCTAGCTTTGTATCTGTATGTTATACTATGTATATGCTGCTTTGTCACGTACATATTTTCTCACATCTTCGGAGGGTAGAACACGTTTCATAAGTTATATTTTTCTGCTGGGTAAGAACTATTATTATATTGGTTTTTCTCATCCATATCTTTTGGAGTGCTTTAGAGGTCAAACTCAGGAACGCAATCCATTTCAGGTTTTTTTTAAGAGAAATGAACCATCTATACTTTCTTCTCTCTAGAAATTGAAGGCTTTGGAGAGTAGTCATGGCAGGGCGCTTGATGATGTTTAGTAAATTAATTCTGACTGCTCCTACTCGATCTACGCAGCATCCATGAACACCTATCCTCTGGAATAACAAATCACTTCTCGACCCTAGACTTTGCAAATCTTACTTCTGGAAAGCTCAGACCTCGAAGAATACCTAACTCCTTCAGGTTCTTGATGTATGATCCAGGGGTAGCAATGCTAATACACGCTTGAATTGTTCAAGAGATTTATTGCACAATGCATAGGACTCTAGAATTATGCAAACGAATTGACAGAAAAAACATGTGCAACCATAGCATTATTACTCGTTGAGTTCCAATGCGTTGTAGCTGGTCAGTGTTTGCATCTACTACCTCTGCAACTATACATAATGAAATGAGCTCGCATTTCGCAGCAGATGTTCCAGAATAACGATTGGGAGCGAGCAGATCTATATCATCTCCATGGATGGGGTTGTGATTGGCAAGAAGCAAGCAAGCCGTACGGCGTAGACCAACATCCTCAACGCAGCAAGAACTCCAACAGAGAGGATATGATACTGCGATGTGTCACAACATAAATGGATCAGACAAGATGTACACAAGCAGATAGCATTTCATATGGAAGCAGAATTCATGGTTGAAATGCAACAAATCTGAAAAGATTGTTGCTGTGATATGCTTGGATTCTGAAAAGGATGTTCATCGGATCTGTGCAAGCAGATTTGATGGTTGAAATGCGCAAGCATTGGGGACAGATGACTTCTTGCACAGATCTGATGAACATCCTAAAAAACAGAGGTGAAATTTAAGTAAAGGGCACACAAGTTAAAGGCAGACTCATTCTGACACAAAAGGATCTGGATAACATTCCAGATTGATTTGGCCTAATATCTTTTTCTTAGTGATGGAATTAAACATCCTCCTTAGGAGAGGAATCGATCCACTTATTATAAAGTTTAACACACAAAAAGTCTGGAGTAGTTCATCCATGGGATGCAAAGAAAGTCATCGTTGTAGCCTCCAACTTGCAACATGCTTCTCTTCACTTTGCTGCAATTGGGGCCCAGGATAGAACCTGCAAATACGTTTTAGATTGAGATTTATTAAAAACCATATCATTTCTTGTTATCCATGTACAGACCAACAAAATGCTACAGCACGAGTCATTATATCTACCTCAAGAACATCTTGGTGGTGGGATATTCACTACATCACTCTCCATCTGCACAAAGCCACAGATCCCCAAGGACCAAGTAACACAGGTCAATTAACATTTTTTGGAATCAACCCATGGGAAGACCCAACTTATATAAATATTCAAAACATTCACACAAAGAGGCTGAACGCACACCTTCTGCTTGTATAGGCACGGTCGGTGTTGTAGCAGCAGCAACATTCGGCACGTTGATCCCTCCTCGTACTTGCTGCAATTGATTCCATCCGTCCGACATACCATACCAGAAATCAAACTCGATTCGTACATCAATCAACACAGAAACGTGAGCGGTAATCAATGGATCAGGTATTTACTGATGGGAAAAGCTAGCATTGCGGAGGCAGCGATGAGATGAGCTACAACTTGGGAAGGTTGAGCACGTTGGTGGAGGGGAATAGCTAACGTACAAGACTGAGAAGTAGAGCGTGTTGGAGATGAGCATGTAATCATCGGAGACATTGGTGAGGCAGTCGGCGACCGCGCATGTTAGCCACAGCGACTGACGCGGAGCCTCGGGGGCACCGCTTAGCATGTGCCTCAATGGAGCAGAGATA